CTCTCCAACATTTTATTTCTCCATTTAATAAACACACCATTCAGTTAGATAGGTATTTGTTGCGAAAGAAATAGTTACAATTTCAAGCATTTTCAAGCATTTCATCCAAAATATAAGCATTTTTCAAACCTTGAAAACACAACGTCAAAATTCTTAGAATCCAACTTATAAACCCGCCCCTTCCTTTGCTCCGCCCACACACTCCTCTGTTCCACCTCCTATGACATCAGCAGTTCCATGTGATGTCATAGACTTGTTTAGCTGGTCAGAACAGCCCTGACATTCCACAGTGAAGTTGCTGTTATTTTCTCTTTGCAAAATAGCAAGAAATATGTTGATTGGTTCAGAAATGGAGGGACAACTTATAAAGAATTTGGCATACACATCCCCTGGAGGAAAAGACAACGTAAATGCTCTAATCGCAGTGTTGGTTTGGAGAAACATCCTAAACTGCCCCAAAAAAGTTCAGAAAGAGTTCTGCAAAGACACTTTGGCCAAAATAAGAAATCGTCTGTCCAAATTGATAATGTGGACAGAAGAGCCAGGTCTGGAGATGATTCTAAATGATAATATATTAGACATAGTAAATGTAGTTTCTCAGATCATGTATGAAAAATTTGGCTCAGCTAAAAGGTTGATTTGGGCTGCCCTGGATTGCAAAAACCACATTTTTGATTCCTGTCTAATCAAAGGTCTGGAGATTCACCTGGGACTCAAAAAGAAAGAATTTATGTATTCAGCAGATTATGCTAGCAGAAAGACAATGCACAATACTGTTTTTTGTGCCCTACTCTTTAGAAATGTGCTAAACAGCTCTAAGAAAGCTGCCAGATCCCTCCCATCAGGTGTTTATCCAAATTTACTAGAACGTCTCTCCCAAATGATAAGATTCTACCTGAAAAAAAACCCTTACCCCTCTAAGCGGCCGCGTAAACAACCAATGGGATGGGTTGCCAAAAGGATTTCCGAGGACATCTTTAACAAATTTGGGGAAATTAAAAAATTCTTCAATGCAGCCCTGGAAACAAGTGAATCATTTGATGTTTTATTACTGGAATACCTTCAAACCAGATTTCAAATTGAAGAAACCCCTGGGACTTTAAACAGGATAGTCACTAACATCAACAGTGGATTGGAAAGAATCACCAGAGGTTTCTACAAGCTGCATACACGGTGGCCGTTTGACAGCCTCCCCACCATTGTTCATCGATAAAAAACTGCACAAGAAGCAGTTAGTTAGTCATCAGACTTACACTGCCCAAATGTCTGATCTTCTCTTGTCCTGTCTTATCCTATCTGTCCTCATTTCATCCTATCTCTTTTCTAATCTCCTTTCCTCATTTTATACTTCAATATTTCATAGGTTTCCTCCAGGTACTCTGGGTTTCCTGCATAGTCAAAAACCTCTTGCAATAAGCGTTCGTACGATCAACTCCATTCTTAAATCGTTCGCATGACTCATTTAGGACAATAGACCACATTCACCATTTGTCTCCTAATTCTAACCATCTCTCAGGCACAAACACATTTTACAAATTCTCCAGAATTGATATAGGAGTCTTGTTCAATCAGTCAACTGATATTCAAACCTTGTTCTTCCTTAAATGACGACACAAGTTGTTTCTTAAAATAAATTGTCAATTTTCTTAGGCTATATTGATTTATTCATGTATTTATTACAAAGTATTAATCAAACCTGGGAGCTGGCCGTGAGACAGACACATCGCTGATGACACAGAGCGATGTGATCACTTCTCTGAAACAGTTTATTGACACATAAATTAACTTAAAATGCAGAAATCTGCCAACAGAATATGTTCGCTTTTATCATCCTGGTGCCTGCAGTTTAGATTATTTAGATGAAAAACACCTACCAGCTGCCGCGGTGAACCGCTAGGAGGCGACCCGGCCAGAGGCTGCTGTTGAAGGGATTCCTACTGACAGTGCACCGCTGGTATGTGGGGTCTGAGCGGCTCCGACAGAAATAATATTGGAAGGTGGGATTGTAATCTGGATGAACTGACTGCAATGATTAAGTTTTCAGGTGGACTTTCTCACTTAAAAACATATTAAAACTACTTTATTCCCACTGATCACAGCAAATATAGCTGCAAGGCAAAGAAAGGATAGTAGCTCCGCCCAACGCGCGTCAGACACACTTTTGCACCGTGCAGCCAGAGCAGCAAAGCTGCTTCAGCCGCGCGTCAGAACTAACTGGTACAAGCAGCAAAAATGAAGCAGCAGATGCGATTTTGCTGCTCTTGATGCGTCCGGTGTGAACGTAGCATTACTTTAAATGCCCGGTTCACACCAATGTCGAGCGGTTGAAGTTCCTTTGTCAGACCTCCCGGAATAACAGCAAGCACAGCGGTCATTTTTTTCACCATGTTTTTCACATTCGCTGTGAGATGGGCACGCATGGAATCACAGATTAACAGCGATGGTGATGAGTGGAAAAAACCACCTGGTCTCCTTACATACAAGTCCCTCAACCACTCTTTCATCATCTCCTCAATGAGGAGATGATGAAAGAGTTCTGCATAAAGCACATACCTGTTCTTTTATACACAATCCACACCCACACTTCCCCCTTTAACATTCTCATGGTGGTCTCAACAACGTCCGCAGTAACGACACACATAGGGCGCACATTTTGAGGGAAAAAAAAAAATTCTATATGCCCCTTATAGTCGTGAAAATACGGTATATATTATGCAACTCTGCAATTATCAACAACAGTTTTAATCGCTAATGGCAGAACTATTGATTACTAAACTTGGAGCTGGCGAATCTCAGTCCCTCTGAGCTACCGTTTGGATCTCGGTACCTCCAGGAGCAGCAGGTCAGCTGCACAACCCTGATACTTTCAGAGTAAGACTCCAGGGACTGCACTAAATAAAAGCCTCTACATTATGCACACTAATTCATTGGAGCATAGGGCTCAACATTATAACCCAAATTCAACCAGTTTCTTAAAACTAGACTAAGACTAGACTAGGCCTATTTTTAACACACCTGAGTGCACATATCTAAATAAAACTCTTCAATTGCCTCTGTAATAGAGCATCAACTTACCAATTAAGAAGGAAAAAGAGAGATTAAACAATTTTAAATGGATTCCATATCACTCCAAAGGCTGACATTATGCTAAAGACACAGACGGCCCTTCTAGACCTTCAAAAAAAACATACCAGGTACTCTACAAAATAAAATCAATAATATACTAATCTATTCATTGCATTATAGGAATCTTTATCTTGAACCCATTCGTCACTAGGTAAGGTGATGTCAGTCGCCATCAAGTGTGAACAAGCAAGTTGCCACCTGGTATGGTGACATATGCCGCCACAAGGTTTGATGTTCTTACCAGATATTAGGTGAACCTACTTAATCCCATGAAGCCTTTGGTGCCAGTCCATATATTACGCACACACAAATATGCACCAAGTGGCAGGCAGGCAGGCATCTCCAAAATTTCCTTGGGGAATTTTCTAGTGCAATTTATTATCATCAGTTCAGTACACTGTGGAGAGGTCAGGCAGCCAGGAATGTGGGTAAAAGTCCTGGTACGTGACCCATGGTAGAAAAAAGTCCTAGTACCTTGAGGGGTAAAAACTTTTTAACCGGATTAACCATCCACCGAAGCAGGAAATAAGTGCACTCATTACTTGTCTGATGGTATTTGCACGTCCTAAATGCAGCCACAATTTGCAAAAGCAATAGGCTGGTAAGATGTCTATATGGAAAATAGAAAATATACGGGGAGCTGTGAAAGAGAAGTTTAGTTTATTTCCATCTGCAACAGGGCTTTAGGCACACAAGGCTTGTTATATGCTCCATTACTATGTATGATTCAATTACTGAGTTTCTTTTATCCATTTGTTTCTATTCTCTTGCTCGTCGATATTGTTACAGTACGAAACCTTTGTCATCATTATTTACAGTAGTAGGTTTGTAATCTGAGCCTCTGCCTTGATCAGAGCTTATTTCTATGCAGCAACTGAGAAAATTCACAGAGCTAAAAGCTCTGGACCTAACTGGTTACCCATGGCGATTTTATCAAATGTATTCAGACATTAATAACCTATCTGCATAGGGAGCCATGAGCTTCATTCAAGCACGCAGCATAGTGGCTAACACACATATATAAAAAGAAAAAAGGCGCAAACTTATAAAGATCATGGCTGGTTGTGTTATGCTCCAAACATAACGAGTGAATTTTCAATAAACATTCTGCTGTAAATCCAAAATCCCTCTTTACTCAGACTTTGGTGGCTTTTCCATCCCCCCAACCTCCCCCCACTCCCCCCATTATCCCCATGTTGATA